CTCATAAATACCCGGCAGCCGACACGTAAAACCTCTAAGAGCTCAGCGTTCAACACGTGTGTGACTTGGTCTAGGGGTGACTTTTGAGGGGTTCTTAGTTCAAACAAAGCGATGCGTGTGAGAGAATAACACCCGCAGAGAAGGGGGAGGGGGCTGTAAGTTGTGGGTGATGAAGAGGGGGTGGGGTAGGGGGCTAGACGAGGAGAAGCGAAAGGAGTCCTACACACGACCACATTCCGGTGATAATGACCGTGTTGTCGGAGGAAGTGGCTGTTCAGCAATCCGGAGTTTTTTTGGTAATTTTTGTGCCCTCCAGACTGACGGGGGTTGTTGAGTTCCAGACGCGGGGTTGACCTTTGCTCTCGGTCCTGACTGCAGAGGGGTTTTCCCCTTTGCACTATAGCCTGTCAACCGTTTCCTTGAGGTATTTTGTAAAAGTTGGCCCGGAGTAGTGATCTGACAAAAAATCCCAAGATTTCGCTAAAAATTCCTTAATCCCCAGGTTTGCTCAAATGTCCACAAAAATCCCTGAATTTTGAAAAACCAGCCATCCTTCAACGTAGAATTATGATGTCATTCGATGTATCGATTTGAAATTTTTAAATGTGAGTGGCTCGTTTGAATTTTGCCGCTCTTTGAAAGCAGTGCCAAGCAGTGCTAAAACAGACCAATAAAATGTAAGAATAATACAGGATCGTCCAGGATTTTTTTTTTTTTTACTGTTGAACTATCAAGTATATCGAGTGACGCATTCGTTTATGTTCTGGCTTATTTACGGGAAAAATAGTATTGCCAGTAATACCTATACAAAATGTAGATGAAAAAATTTTTCTACTGATTTGAACCTAAAATTGAGGATAAAATAGTCGATTTTTATTTACTTGCACCCCATCAAAAAATGTCCTAGGTTGTCTGAAAAATCCCTAGATCCCTAGGTCTATAGGAATAAAGCCCTAGACATCGAATCACTGGCCCAGACAGTTCGTAAAAGACGTATCTATACCAACAGGCTGAAAAGTATGACAGATGATGTGAATCGAAAGGCATGAACTGTGTTTATAGGTTTTGCATGCCTTATGACTCCTTATGATTTAATTATTAATCCGAAGACGGATCTTTTTACCATGAATAGTCCAAATTTTGTTCAGTTCGGGCCCCTGGTGACTCCCTCGTGGAGTTGGTCATACTATACCTGGAGACTTGAACGCAAGGTTAAGAGGAAAAACTCGCTTGCTATCCGAGAGATGGATGGTTCATTAATGCTATGATACGTAAAGAAACACTCTTATTTGGACCGCGTTTAGTATAGAAAGGAACCAAGCCACGTCAGCCGTTGCCAAATTTAATCGAGCAATTTGATTTTTTACATGAAAACGGTCGCAACGGTTTCTCGCAAACAGTGATTTTTTCCATAATCTTCAGGAAAGAGAAGCAAATTCCTTAAAATTTTCAAAGGAATCCGCCCAAACGTTCTCATGTGAAAAATTAAATTGCCGGTTAAATTTGGCAATAGCTAATGTTGCTTGGTTCCTTTCTGCTAAACGAGGTCCATTTTAAATGGGTAGAGTAGCGCATTTTGCGTGTTATTAATAGATAATTAAAATAAAAAGTCTTGCCTTACAAGCTTGTTGATTATTTTATATTATTGCAGTCTAGTAGATATACATTTTGAACCAAACGAGTCCATCCACAGCATTTTCATCACAAAAACTCACAAAAAGTTCACTAAATGTCATAGTATGACAATGCGTTTGGGCTGTTACGCGCAAGAAAAAGGAAAGAGAACAATCATATGTATACAAATTTTAAGAGAAAGTTGAAAGTGCACTTGTTTTTAAAAATCGTCAAAGTGCGTAGTTAAAACGTTAGAAATCTTTGTTCACCTGAACGGATTACATCTAGTGCAACCCGATGGATGATGACACTCATACGAACTAGGTGGTGAACTTTTTGTGAGTTTTTGTGATAAAAGTGCTGAGGATGGACTCGTGTGTTCCGAATTGCATACCCTGTATACTGCAATAATATAAATAAATCGACAAGCGTGTAAAGCAAGACTTTTCATTTTAATTAGTTCTAAATTTCTTGCGAAAAAGAAAAATGCGTTCGTAATGACACCGAAATCATCAATAATTTTATCTTATGATATGAAAAGCGAACATTTAAGGATATATGGTCATGCGGGAAAAGGGACAAAAGTCCACGGTGATAAACTTCACAGAGGAGCGATTTTTTTTTCCAGTTGAGATGGAAAGTGCCCATTTTTGCGCCAAGAAAGAGTGTGATGAGTATTTTTACTTAAAAATGTTACGTTCCATTTACACCTCAAATCGCTGCCTCTCGATACTAAGCACGCTTTTTGAACTGCGAATTTCGAAGTATCATGCACCTGCAAATGTACATTTTTTGTGTGCATAGCGAAAATGTCCATAAAACTTAATATCTCAACGACTCTGAGTTCTTTTGGATAGGGTCACAAGGGACCTCTTCCTTTGAACAATCTGCATAAATGGAAAAGTAATAGCTTTGATTCTAAGTCCATGATATACGTTTTACGAGTCTTAAAAAATTTTAATAAAACCAAACGCGATAAAATAATTTATTCATAATACTCTGCCTTTATGCTGAGATTATACAGTTCTTGTTTAAAGAAGTAATTTCACATTATTAAAAGAAATTTTAGAGACGAAACAAGAACATATGGATGAACAGAGAAAACGGAAGCAAATTTTAATAAAGAAACAAAGCTGTCCGTAGAGTTCCGTGGGCACTGTGTTTAGCCACAAAGACACATAACTCGCTTAATGAACCCTCTCGACTGTTGGCAGAAACTTGAGACCGCCGTCCTTTTCATAGATTCGATTGGATTGTCCAGTAACTGGACAACTCCAGTTAAATACGAGGAAAAGGTCCGGCCAGTTATGTCACCTCTCTGGTCATTTTTAAAAATGGAGAGAAAAGAAGATGTATAGCAGTAATTGAATGATACCTAATCAGTCACCTTTAAAGATCCAATTGAACCGATTGAGTCTCGATCCACGGGAGTACCAACATTTTGTGAGCCTCAGGTTCCTTACAAGCAGAGGGCTTAGCGGCTCAAAAGATTTTGACACTTGCACGAAATGGAGGCTGAATTTTTCATTGGGTCCGACTCAAACCTGCAGGGGTCAATCTTGTATGAAAGAGGTGGGCATATTGAATGTGTGCGTGGACATGGCTATAAAAACACGGAACGCCACAACTAGTGGCGAGGTGTGAACGACGGACTATCGATATTTTCTCATTTGATTCTATGGCAAAGAATCGATTAATGAGGTATACCTTGATAATCGATCCTTTTCCAAGGTTTTAAATGTCATTTTATCGATTCATCGCTAAGCACGCCAAAACTCTCACCCCTTGGTGCGGTCAACAATATCTCAAATCGGTGGGAAACGTCTACTTACCCCTACAATGACCCCATCGAGGACAATTAGCCCTTTCTTTAAGTGGGGTTTGTGGAGGAATTTGACCAACAAAACAAGCAGATGTTCGCAGAAAGTCAAAACAAACTTGTGAAACTGTCTCACGGGGTGCGCTGGACCACGCGCACCGATGTCAAACCAGCCGTTCTGTCAATCCTCATCTGTAGGAACGATACTGGTTTCATCGTTAAGCTCGACAATCTTGAATGGCTGTGGTCTGAGGACCCAAAGAAATATATCAAAGTCGAATTATAGGTGAACCTAACTATTGTCCGTGGTTTCGGTTCACGGGTGGGTGATCTGATTGTCCAGGGGTTTTATAGGTTCTGGCTCCTCTCGACTGTTCCAGCCTTCCGCTTTCCAAGGTTTTGAGCGAGTCGAAGTTACTAAGTGATGACCTAATTGTAAGTGTCCGAACATCTCGGACCCTTGGCGTGTCCCTCAGGACTTATTGTATTGGAAGGTGCTTGCCATATCAGGGACAGCTTTGTGAAGCATTTCGTCGCTTGGCTAACATGAGGGCGTAACTCACGAAAAAATTAAATTGCTGATTTAACGATTAAATTGCTGAAAAAAGTGGCTGCAATATTTCAAAGTAGATTTCACAACACAAAAATACTAATTTAACCACCCCCGTTGTTAAATTAGCCTACAATAGTGGTTAAAGTAGCCTTTTTGTGTTGTGAAATCTACGTTGAAATATTGCAGTCACTTTTTTTTTTTTAGCAATTTAATTGTTAAATCAGCAATTTAATTCTTTCCGTGTGCACATTAAATGTGCCCGGGGTAGCATTGAAATGTATGGAAGATTGGGCTCATTGAAGAGTGTGGTTACGCCCTTATGTCAAGTAGGCGACGATTTAATCGTGCTGGCACCCCATTTGTCAATCGGGAAGTTTTATATTGGTTAATGGAAAAGCTGATTGTCATGGCGGGAATGAAATAATTTTCGGTGAAAAACTGATTCTCAGGGACTTATTAGCGAATCTTTTTAAGATGTTCGAGTTCTGGGAGTGGAAACGAGCCTTTTCTCCGCTCCTACTTTCTTTTTCTCCGAAAGCTGAATGAAACCTAAAACTATGAGTTTTCTGAATTTTTGTGAACGCTGTTAGTGCAGATTTGTAAAAAAGTATAATAGTAAACATGGCGTTGCGTTGTGCGTGCAAATGCTAAATTGCTAACAGCATGCAACTGTAGGGGACCGACTTTAATTTCTGAAAACTATGTTATTTGCCCATTGAATGGTCCAAACAGAAAATAAGTATTATTGAACTTATATCTTTCAGAGATAAACGCATTACGTATATTTTCAAACGGATTTCGATTATTTTGTTAAATTATAAGTATGGTTAGATTCTTGAAATTATCACGCTTTGATATTTCCATTAAAAAAGATAAAAGTGTCTTATTTACAACGGATAGAAATAAGAAACAGTAATGCAAGTCACCAAACTCGTATTGATGCAGCGCCTGGATATAACTACACGTGCTTAACAACCGACCGTATTGCATATAGGGATAAAATGAAGGTGCATCTAAGATTTGAGGGAATTTATTGTAAGTTTTTTGCCAAAAACCAGAGAACTTTAATGATAAAACTACGCTTCAAACAATGAATCAAACAAGTGATAAGATGATACGTGAAAACACCTAATCTTAACATAATTTAAAATTAATACAAATTAATAAATAATAATCATAAATATAATGTACATTTACCCGTTATAAAAAATTTCCCCTCTCCTTAATATAAAACATTTTACTGAAAGTTTCTCACAGGAACATCTTGATCGATAAAAACCATTTCATATTAAAATTTTTGAACGGAATGGCAAATCTTTCAAAATTATAACAAACTAAAATTTACAAAATATCACGTAATTTGCAACAACTGCAATGGAAAAATGGAAGGAAAACAAACTTGAAGCCCTCAACTCTTGATGAAAATCTCTTCAGGAAAATCTTGATCGATAAGAACCATTTCATATTCCAAAATTTTGAACGGTAAGGCAAATCCTTTAGATTACAATAAACTAATATTTACAGAAGATCACGTGAATTTGCAGCAACTGCGATAGAAAAATGAAAGAATAACAAACTTGAAGCCTTCATCTCTTGATGAAAACTCTTCAGGAAAATCTTGATCGATGCTAATCATTTAAAATTTCAACATTTTGAACGGAAAGGCAAATCCTTTAGATTACAATGAACTAATATTTACAGAAGATCACGTAATTCGCAGAAACCGCAATAGAAAAATTAAAGACAAACAAACTTGAAGCCAGTTTAAGATATTCGCAATGGTTCACCATTCCACTCTTTCAAGCACTCGAGCAAAGGGTCCATCAGCGCCCCCGAGCACAACGAGCCGAAAACCTTATCAATATCCTCCCCTGGCGCCACATCCCTCTCAGCAGTAAGAAAACTCGTGCCTAGAACTTCCCGCACGAATTTATACATCGGGTAAGACCTACATTCCATTATTCTGTTAGGAATCTTCGGCTTCCCACTTTCGAATTCTATCCTAGTGTTCTCGACCTCTCTCGGCAAAACCGATCTCATCTCCTCTTCAAAAGCCCCGATCTGTTGGAAAACAGAATTTGTCTCGTCACTCTTCAAGGCGTGGTCCACCAACGTCTGCCGCAAGCGTTGCATCAGAGGGTAGTGCGGGTTGCAGGGCTCGTCTATGTAGGCGTAAACATACTCGCGATCGACCACCCTCAGTAGATCCTCGACGCAGGAATCGACCGAACGCGCCTCGCCATTCAACCCTGATTTTAATACTTTCGCCGCCGCACGATCGATCGTCTTCTTAACGGTGTGTTTGAAATTGTCCTCCAAATGTCGCAAGTCTACAGCCTGGCACAGAGCGATCAGGAAGGTCGAGGACATGATTTTCAAAATCTCGAGGGCCTCGTCTGTCTTTCTGGCCGATACCAGGCCGAGGGAGTTGACGTCTTGGTTATGCTGCTCGGCGCTTTGGACGTGAGTCGTGACGGGGTTCCCCATGAACTGGAGTTCGGAGCAATAGGAGGCCATGGCCGTCTCGGCCCCTTTGAGGCCGAAGTCCAGGCAGGGATTGCGCCCGCCGCAGAGGTTGGAGGGCAGCCCGTTGTTGTAGTAGTTGTTGACGAGCTCGGAGAACTGGGCGAACATGAGTCTGCCGATGGCGGCGACGGCGAGACGAGCGTTGTCCATGGAGACCCCGATCGGTGTGCCTTGGAAGTTCCCGCCGTGCACTGCCTTGTCCCGCGTGACGTCGATCAACGGGTTGTCGCTCACAGAGTTGATTTCTCGTTCGATCATCGTCGTCGCCGCCCTGATTACCTCCATCTGGGGCCCCAGCCACTGAGGGGATGTTCGCAGAGCGTACCTGTCTTGTTTTTGTTTTTGGTCAGGGTCCAAGGCGTGGAGTTCCTCGGCTACCTTCATGAAGGAGCTACCTACGAGGCGAAAAGAAAAACAATTACTAGGAGGCTGAAAGGGGGGGGGGCACTGGAAGACACTCCACTAGCTGATGAAATTGATAGACAAAGCTGTGGACAAAATAGACAAAAGAGGGATCCTATTGGTGGAAACGGGTGGTTGCAATGGACAAAGAGGGTAGGTGATAGACTGACTAACGGAACGGCAACCTACGAGAGACCCTTTAGTTAGTCCCCCTTAGTCTATGGGAACCATCCACTTCTATCATTAGGATCGCTCGATACGTCCTATGTCTTCTTTGTCTATCGATTTGTCTATAAGTTTCAACGATCAGCCCGCTGGGAAGATCTGTGGGATTTCCCTAGCTCCAAAGGATGGTTCAGGGGAGTTGCTTTGACTCAAAGGAGAGGTCTGGGCTCCCTTATTGTATTTTGAAAATTTGAAATGTATAAGGAGCAAGTTTGAGCTGTTCTCGCCCAAAAATTGTTCGAAAAACAATTTTAAAAATGATAGTAGTCGTCGGTTCCCTCACGAGAGAGGGTAACTACATTTCAATATTGCCATATTTTCCCCTGCAAATTGCATTTTTACCAGGAACGTTTTGGGCATTTCTACCTTGGAATGTAACAATTTTTTTTTCTTATCTCATGCGAAAATCAGAACAATTGTGGACAAACATTTCAGTAATATTTTGAAAAATTGCTTGTTTGCGTCAGTCTTGAAATCTTGGAATGGAATTCAATTCCTTCGTCCGCGAAACGGCGCGATATGTCAGGCACTTACTTCGCAAAATTCGTTGCATTTCTTGAAAGGGTCCAAGTAAATTTCTTGGGGACAGCATCCCCCCCCCTCCCCATCCGGCGCCCAATGGATCGAGTCAATAGGAGAGGTCGGATAAAATTCGGAAACATTAAAAGCTTATAACTCCGTTTAAACAGCATTTTGATGTACCAAAAGTAGTTCCATTGGTTTCCTTGTGAAATTTTTTCGTAGAAGCACCAGTTCAAATTTAAATTGTGACGAAATAAACATCAAATTTTGCAGTTCAGCGAAATTTTCATATCCGACTTCTCTTTTTGACTCGATCCACTGTGCGGCGGTCTAAAGCTATGCTTTGTTCGTTTTTTTCATTTTGGTGGAAAATTCAACAAAAAAGTGCAAAACTACCGTCCAAAATGTGCTCCATGATGGCTGCAGCTTCGATTTGCCCGGGATGATGCTTGAGTTTGTGCGTCAAGTGATCGGTAAATTCGGACTTGCCGTGCATAACCTCGGCGAAGATGGCCGACAGAACGACAGACAGAACCGCGAGTAGGTTCGCTTCGTAGAGGACCGACGCGGCCAGACCAGCCCCGACTGCTGTCCCGTTGACCAGGGCCAACCCTTCTTTCAGCTGCAACTGCACCGGCCTCTCAATCCCGGCTCGGTTTAGGGCTTCGCTGGGCCCCAACACCTCATTGTCGGGTCCGAGAGCTTTCGCATTGTACCTGTGACAATGTTCCAAATCAATCCATTAATTTATTTATTCTTTTCATTTATTCCTTTCGTTCATTTTCTTACAATTCTGTTATTTTAAAGCCTCCTTTTTTATTTGTGTTTCAATCATCTTCTTGTTTTTACTTCTTTCAGCTTTTACTTTCGGGACTTCATCATTTTACTGTTGACTTACCTACATGGTTTATGTTCAACAACGTGCTGGCAGTTTTGTTTGGAAACAAGCCGAAGACGGCCGAAGTTTGAGTAACTTGTTTGGCTCATGACGTCACCGGAAGCTCATTATCCAGCATGTAGGTGGGTCAACAGCCGAAATTAGGGTGATGACTGTTGCTCCCTTATAATTGTTCATAAGGAATTGTTGAATCCTCGAAAGTAAAAGCTCCCACCTGTCGCCAAGAGGCCATTGGAGGGTCTCTTGTCTCTGGTTCTGGACCTCAGCAGGGAGGGTCCCAGCGGGGTCCCAACCCTGCGGATCTAATCGAAAAAATGTCCGAATAAACTTGCGGAAATTTGCCTATAAGCACTCTAAATTTCCTCTTACCTGCCAATGAGAAGGCTTGTGATGTAGGAGAGCGGCATGAGATCGCCGGACGCCGTCACAGAGCCCCTCAGCGGGACGCAGGGCGTGACATTGGTGTTGAGGAGCTTGGCAAGGGCTTCGATGATCTCGAACCTGACGCCGGAGTAGCCTCGCAGGAGAGTGTTGGCCCTCACCAGGATGGCCGCCCTTGTCGCCTTACGTGGTAGTGAGTGACAATACTCCGATCCCGGCCCGAAGACACCTGCGTTCAAGTGCCTGTTCAATTCGTTTCATTCACCAACAAATAAAGTTAGAGGCGTAATGGAGATGTTGCATGTGTGAGGAATTTGCTATTTGACTGTTGATTCTTATGTAAAAGTTCGCGAGAAACACGATGGTGCCACTGGTTTTCTCTGAAATGAACTCCCAAGCGCAAAAAAAGCTCTCAAGTTGAGGTCAAAATGGAGGGGATATCCCACGCTATCCTGAGAGTCCACCTTTACATCAGGACAAACTCTCCATGCAAAGATAGGGAGCAAATACATTGACAGGGTTGCCACTTATTTGAGGACTCAAAAATTGAAAACACGGCGACACAGCTCCCTATCTTTGCACGGAGAGTTATTGTCCTGATGTAGAGGTGGACTTTCAGGATACCGTGGGATATCCCCTCCATTTTGACCTCAACTTGAGAGCTTTTTTTGAGCTTGAGAGTTGATTTCAGAGAAAACCAGTGGCACCATCGTGTTTCTCGCGAACTTTTATACAAGAATCAACAGTCAAATCGCAAATTCCTCACACATGTAACATCTCCATTGAATTGGTGTACTGTCGTGCTAAGGAAGAACGCCGTATGAACAATCGAGAGCTGCCAAATTGCCCCGTATAAAACATGTATTCTTGAGAACAGTTATGCGTATTTTTCCTTGGTACGTTCAGAAATTTTAAACAAAATTGTGAATAAAATTGCCTAGAAATATTGAAGAAAAAATTTCAAGATTTTTCCAGTAAATTATGGTTTTATTGAGGGAAATTCGGCAGCGTCTGAAGTTTCATACGGCGTTCTTCCTTAGCACGGCAGTGTAATTATGTGGGATGCTGGATTTAAGGCTCGCTGAAATGACGAGGAGGGCTTGGATAGGATTTCTAGACCCGAGATACTCAGGAGAAGGCTTGAAAATCAAATTTTTTCCTGTTAAAAATTATAGCTTTAGGATCTGTGTCCGAAAAAACCATAAGAATTCTTATATCCACCTGTAGAAGGCGATAGAAAATCATATACCTGGCTATATTATAATCAATCATATAAATGGCGTTTTTCCTTAGCACGGCAATACCATTAGAGCTAAAATTTTTGACTCAAATTGCAACTTATGGATCTTTTTTGTCTTTGCTTCCCCTGCAGAGCAGTGTAGCCCCCTTTTTATTCTACCACCTTGTCTTATCAATGAATCGGAACGCTTTAATACCTCGGAACAATTACCTTATCGCCTCCTTCTGGAGAGCGTCTCCTTTCTCCGTCCTCCTGTGCGAGGTCGCACCGAACCCGGTGGTGACCCCATAGGTGTCCGTGCCCTTGTTCGTCGCCTGCACGACCCACTCTTTGCTGGCTTCGACCGCGGGTCGAGCGGCGTCAGAGAGCTCCACCGTGACGTCATTGGAACACGCGACGGCGGCCACCTGCGCCACGGTCAAGTTTTCCCCGCGGAGATGGACGATCGGCCTTCGGTACTCTCGCACCATCCGCCTGACGTCATCCAGGTGACTGCCTCTCAAGGAGTCCGCCGACGACCCCCAGTTCAAGGGGTCTCTTGGTTGGGATGTTGACGAGCAATTGATGCGCTGCGTCTCTGTTGGTGAGTGGCATGGGTCGGAGCAGATAGACATGTTCTTCCGTTCTGATCCTATGGGTGGTGGCATGCTGTTGCTGCTGCCATTAATAGTTGGACGGCATCTAAAACAAAAATAACGTTCTCGCTTGCTCAATATGCCGATGTTTAGTATTCAGGTGCTAAAGCCCTCCCCCCCCCTCCCACAGACGTGCGTAGGGCGTTTTGCTAGGGGGGCCTGCCCCGGAAAATTTTTGAATTTTAAATCTATGTATTTGGCCGTATTTTGAGGCATCCATGACGCCAGGGTCGGACTGGCTCGCATCTGAAAACGTAATCCTTTAGCTGGTTAAGGGGGCGTAATGTGATATTTCCCGGTAGGGCATCCCCCACGCAGAGAGAGATTCTGAAAATCTTCAGAAAAGCAGCACAAGTTTACGCTATTTTCAGGTTCAAAGTTTATTATTCGTACGGAGTACAAATTGCAAAATTGAACGTACTGAAGTAACCGACCGACTTTTGAAATTAAAGGAAACATAAAAAATTAAAGCTGCTAGAAACTAGACGCGCATCCAAGCACCATTATTTCCAAAATAACCGAGTCACTGCTGCGGTTTACACGAGTTTAAGACGTGGGTCTGCAAATTCTTACTAAAAAAAAAAATCGGACAAGAACCTGAAAAAAGAAGAAAGAACGAGCATGAAAATAGAGGAGGACAGGAAAGACGTGATCGGACCTCTTTTTTAACTTTTCTCCCGAATTTGAGTGACACCTCATTGACAGCATATAGCAGAGCATTGGGAGCTCACGCTTCGCGCCATCGCGCCTTCAATTTTGGCGACGCAACACGGACACCCATCAAGCACGAATAGTTGTATCTCTGCGCCTTCGTCAACGCGCATCCTTTCTCTTGCTCCTCTTTCATGTTGTGTTGGTTCCGTTTGTTTTAATAGCAGTGGTGCTTCAAGGGCTGCGTGAGTAACACAACCGAAGATTGGAGAGACGTAATCGGGCCTCGTTTCTTAACTTTTTTTTCCGATTCTGAGTGAAACCTGATTCGCAGCATAGAGCGGAGCATTGTCAGTTCACGTCTCACGCCATCGCGCCTTCAATTTTGCAGACGCAACACGGACATCCATCAGGCACGAATAGTTGTATCTCTGCGCCTTCGTCAACGCGCATCCTTTCTCTTGCTCCTCTTTCATGTTGTGTTGGTTCCGTTTGTTTTAGTGGTAGTGGTGCTTCGAGGGCTGCGTGAGCAACACAACCGAAGATAGGAGAGACGTAATATCAACTTTTTTCCGATTCTGAATGAAACCTTATTGACAGCGTAGAGCGGAGCATTGTGAGTTCACGTCTCACGCCATCGCGCCTTCAATTTTGGCGACGCAACACAGACATCCATCGAGTACGAATAGTTGTATCTCTGCGCCGTCATCAACGCGCTTCCTTTCCCTCGCTCTATTTCTATGTTGCGTTGGTTCAATATGGTTCCGTTTTGACAGATATGATCAACAACGCGAACGCTCGACCTAGAAATGATTACCGATGGTGATCTTTTGCATGAAATCGATTTTTGATTAGCGATTTCCAATGTTTCCTCAGAAATCGATTTAACCGAGCCTGCATGACGCAGATTTCTCATTCATTTCTGCAGAAAAATTATGCTTTTTTACTCTCAGGTAGGACTAGGTTCGAATTGTTACGATCAACACACCTAGAAAATGTTTGAAATTTCAAATTCTAGTTGGACGCGTTTTGAGGCTTCTATGATGACAATTTTAGAAGATGCTAATTGAAGAAATACAGTGTGTTTTCGATTTAAGACGCTACATTAAAAGATATAATCATCCTCGACTAAAGTTTCTTCGCACTATCCAGAATTTCTGGGGGGGGGNAGCAGCTGATACTATTCCCTATTCTGGGGGGTGAGGCCCATCTGAACCGCCCCCTTCACACGCCCGTGGCCTCGCTGTTAAAAATGAGTCAATCCGACGTCAAACTGACTCGATCAGTCTCAATGCTTTGACTTCATACAGAGTGCAAATACTGCAATGGAATTGGTTTGATATCAGATTCATGCTGACGTTAAATACAGTTCATAAATGAAATCAATCAATCGAAAAAATAGAAATTATCCATGACACTAATCATGAAATCATACCCATTCGAGTCGCGCAAACGGCCTCAGGTTACAAACCTATCATTCAAAATTAAGGAGGAGTTTTACATAATGAGTAAAAGTAAAATTCCATCAGATGAAATTCATAGACGGGTTCTGTCTAAAAGAATTAAATACCGATCTTTCCAAACTCCAACTCTGCCAGACAGCCGCGGATTTTTACCGGCCTAAGTGAATTATCTAGCATTAGTATGGAAAGTCACGGGCTGTGACAAATATACGGCGAGAGAAGATGACGCCTTGCCAATTTTGGTATGAAATTTTCGAAGCTTACAAGTTTTATCTGAAATTTTGCCATTTCAGGCAGGAAAAAAATGAACTAGCTTTTCATTCATTTAAGGACCCGAGAGTTTGCGTGGAAATTGCTTTTTTCACGTGCGTTTTTTAGGGGGAAAAAAAGAAGGAGGAAAAATTTTGATTTTTAATTCAGAAACTAAAAAAATGTGAATGCTTTATTTAGAAACTTCGGGTATGCAGGCAAGGAGTGAAATATTAAAGTTACACACACACACACACACACACAAAAAAAAAAAAAAAAATTGGTTGTGGTGAGTTCTTGCTGAAGGCAAACAGGTGCATTCTCTCATTTGCGCTCAATCCTTCAAACAGTCATAGTATATTGGGAGGATATTTGACGATAAATTGATGGCTAAAGTGGCAACAATTTAAGGATGGAAACTTTCCGCCCAACCCCGTCACTCGTGTGCCGAGTTCTGATGCCCAACGGGAAATTTCACCATTCTTATGTTATCATCGTTCAACGGAAAGATATTACGAATCGATCACAAATGGAGTCATTAGTTTTTTTTACTGCCGCGAAGTTTTAAATTTATTTGGATGTATACGCGTTCAAAAATTCTTCTCCTTAAAAATAATTAAATTACTTAAAAAAAGCTTGACTTCGGCAAATAAAAGGAGAAGAATTACCCATTAATTTTGGATTTCAATCGATATTTAACATTCTGTAGAAACCACAGATGCTATAACATTGAAGCCATTGGCTTTTAAATTCTTTGAAAATATTCAATTTCACAACGAAAAAACACCGCGCTGACTTTCTGCCGCGCTAAGGGAGAACGCCTTATGAGCATTCGAAAGTTGCCAAATTTCATCTGATAAAATATTTATTTTTAAGGAAAATTATCAATATTTCTCCTTGGAATTTGCAGACTTTAAGATCAAACTGCAAGAAAAATTACCTGAGAAATTGGGAGACAAATATCCACAAATTTTCTTGAAAATTAGTGATTTTTCAAAGGAAATTTTGCAACTCCTGAAGGCTCATACGGCGTTCTTTCTTAGCATGGGAGCTTTGTAGAAGGGTGGGTAATTCCATAAAAATCACCACCAAGTGGCAATGAAACGAATCGGTGAGCCATGCAATAAAGTCACAAGAATCGCGTTGATTATAATGCCCGGCGGCGGAACTCATTAAAGCGAGTGAGCAAATGTAACTCGTATAAGCGCAATATAAACAAGAGTTTTCCATCCAATTAATGCCTCAATAAAAATAAAACAAGTGCAGTTGTTGGTCTCCGGATTCCTCTCTAATCTTTTCATCAAACTCCAAGCCTGACTCGACGGCAGATATGCTCTTCTTTGTACTATCCACACGGTGTTTCATCCGATGGGGTTAAAAAGAAACTAGACTTTCAAAGTATCTCATCGTGATGTCTCGTAATTATCGCAAAATCCACGGAAATAGCTACATCGTCATTTCGAATGCATTTTTGTGAGATGGCTTCAAATCATCCAATGAAAAATTACCTATGAATTGTAAAAGTAAACACCTCTGGCCAGCTATTTTCACAGATATTTTCAAGGCGATATTTGTGTTTGTTCCCATTCAAAGAAATAAAATATAAGAATATAACCAAGTCTGCTTTTATGTAGTTCTAATTGGACTACGTTAAGCAGAAAGGAACCAAGCCACATTTGCTATTGCCAAATTTAACTGGGCAATTCAATTTTTTACACGAAAACGGTTGTGCGGATTTTTTTGCAAATTTCAGTGAATGTTCTGCATAGTGCAAAGCAAATTCCTGAACATTTTCAATAGAAACCATAAGAACGTTTTCTTATAATTAAATACATTGCCCCGTTAAATTTGGCAATAGCTGATGTGACTGATGTTCCTTTCTGCTAAACGCGGTCCAATTCAATGGAGATGTTTGCATGTGTGAGGGATTTGCGATTTGACCATTGATTCTTATGTAAAAGTTCGCGAGAAATACGATGGTGCCACTGGTTTTCTCTGAAATCATCTCCCGAACTTTTACATAAGAATCAATGGTCAAATCGCAAACCCCTCCCACATGCAACATCTCCATTGCGGTTGTTCGTCTTTGAATTTTTTGTTCATTTTATTCGAGCCTTTGTCTTATCTTCTTTGTTAGATAACTATTAATTCTAGCAAAATTCATTTATGTTGTATACGATTATGTTATTACTACAATTTTTAAACGTTGGAGATGCGCATGTTTTACTTGGACCGCCAATTTGAGGAGCGCGTGACCACGGCTCAAGATGCTTTCAATTCTGATCGTGCTTCAGCTCGCGTGGCAGCGGCATCATCGGAGTGCGAGTCTCGTGTAGATACGATTCGCACGTGTTTTTCTCGCCGGTTTGTATGCGAGTTTTCCCGCTTTTCCGGAGTGACTCACTCGCATGCACGACGACACGAAAAGCGACTACGTCGATCGGCAAAAGCGTGATTCCGGCCGCGAGATACGTCGCGACGCGTCAGTCGTCGGTAGACGTCTGCCCGCCGCGCCAGACGCTAACGCAATTTCCCTGTTCTGCGGTGCCGGGGAGAAACGCCGTATGAGCATTCGAATGTTGCCAAATTTCCTCTCAATAAGTTTTTTTTTGGAAGAAAGTTATGCATATTTGTCTTAGGATTTTAAGATATTTGGAATTTTGGACCGCATTTTGCAATATGT